TTAACATAACTTTAAAGAATGTAATATTATAATAATAACTTGCCCTTGGAATCACTTATGTATGTTGTGATTATTAAAAAAAAAATTAGAAAATAAATCTAACATTAATTTCAAATAGAAAATAATGTATATGTTATATACTTATAACATATACATACACAATAGATTTCAAAAAGGATATGCAATAGATTTCAAAAAGGTGTGTCCCTTGGCCCTTGTTTGTTTGAAATACTTATTAGATGTTGTAAACTTTGCAGAGTAAGACTGGCTTCTTTAGGATAACACATGTTAAAGTTGAAAAAAAATATTAAAATCATCTCCAAAGCATCTTCTAAACTGGTTGTCGTGTTACATTGTACTTTTTTAACAAATATAGAGAAAACGGTTGAATCTAAATCCTTTTCTAAAATTAGAAGTAAAGTATGAACGTGATAAAGTGGTATAATTACAAAAAAAATTAGTTATTTACTTATAACTGCTATCCATGATAAATTGTGCTTTGGATTTACGCTTGTACACATGTTCCAATATAAAATTTAAAAAAATATATTATATGAATGAATATTATTTTATATACATTTGCTTAAGAAATAATATTGTATATTTTGCACTATATGTGCACATACCTCAAAAAATAATACTATGTAAATAAAAATAAAAATAATATAAAATAAAAATCAAAATAAAAAAAAATAATTAACACAACTTGTATTTGCACAAATTTGTTTAATTTTTAAACATATACCAGTAATAGCTGCTACAACAAATACGGCACACTGTGTATAAAAGCGTAAACTTCTTTTTCAATTTTGCAGAACTTTATAGGAAAAGGAGTTAATAAATTTGAATATTTTATCAGTTTCGGCTCAATAAGTATTTCTTCAACATCATATACATATGCCTTTGGTGTTTTCTAACTGAATTTCATAAATATTTCCATAAAATGCAAGTTCTGCATAAGTTTCATTTAAAAGTATCATACTAATTATATTTAAAATTTTAAAAGTCATAAAACGTAACCAAACACGTAAACATATTGAAAATTATTGCTAAAAATACTTTTTTCAAATTACAAATTATACAATTATATAAATTAACTTATGTAGTAAGTACCGCTTACAATTTTTTTTAAATTTATTTAAGTTTTGTAGTTTTAAATACTTATGAATTTTCGCGAATTTTTATTAATTCTAACTTCATTCACCAAATATTTTTTAAAACTAATTTGACAAACAAAATTTTTTACACATTCATACATATGTACAAATATGCATCGGCTGTTTTTTTTAAATTACATTAAGCACGTACACATACCCTGCATTTTACGTCGGTGAAACAATTCAAAAAAAATTTGTCCATTAAAATTCAAATAAATCTCGTATTAAAACAAATTAAAAAAAAATCAATCAATGAAAATTTTCCTTTTGCAATAATTAACGTAAAATAATTAATTTAGTTTACAAAAGCTAAAACTAACACATAAATTTAAATAGCGTAATTCTGGGGATAGCTGTACGTCGGGTTAAAATATTTGACATGATAAAAAGTAAATATATTGATGTACATATAACAGCTACAACGAAGAAGAAAAAAATCAAGTTTTTGCATGTTTTATAGACGAGCCGTTATAAAATTTTGTATTTCCTTTTTTCTCTTGTACCTATTCCACAAGTACTAATATATCCAAATTATTTGAATTTTAATGGCTAATAATGTACTGGACTGTAGTTTTTTACTATTTTAATGTAATAATTTACATTAATCGGAGCAATATACAGAAAAATCTGTAATATTGCATAAAGAATGTAAAATTACTCGCCGAAAACAAGTTTTTTTGAGTTTTGCTTAATAAATCGTTGTGAGTACTATGAATAGTGTTGTAGGTAAAATTGTATAAAATTACCGAAATTTTTTAGTGTGTAGTTTCTGCTAATATATCAAACTTAAATTTTATACCTAGTAACTTAGCGTCGGCAGAGTTCTACTTTGATCCATACGCCACTTTCGAAATTTGTGACTTAAGACCACTTTCATAGGTTTTCGACGATGATCTTTCAGTATATGTAATGAGATTTTCGCTATCTCATTTAGTTTCATAGATACGCCGATATCATTTTGATCCACCTCCATATCCAAAATCGGTGGCATACGGATCAAATTTTCATATGTATAAATTTTCTGGAGAAATTTTTAACTGCTATAATGACAATGAAAATTTTTTGTATGACATGGTTCATTGTAGCACATAAACTGTAAAACATTCTGAAACAATCCAATTTGGCTATTTACACAATTCTAAAATTTTTTTATCCGATAAATTATTTTTTAATTTATTGACCTTACTTGTTTTTGTCACATACTTACTTAACTAAACAAAAATATTTTAAGAACTTTTAAAAGCATTAGATCGCTTTGTTCTTATATTTCAAGGGATGCTTACCAAATATTGTGTATTTTACTTTTGTAAAATTTTACTTTTGTTAAATGTTTGTAAACCTGAAAACAGTTATTTCAAATATTTGAAAGTCCCTCCTTACAAAATGGAATAGTAAAGAAAGTGCCCGTATTTGACGTAATTTTGTATTTCCAAATGCTGGGTCAAACCAATGGTTTGTATTGTAGCACTTTTCTCTTCAACAATTAAATACTACTTTTAAAAACAATCTGTGTATACCCATCACACAATTAAAATTATTTTCATATACGAAACTATTTCATTAAGGATTGCATACATTCGGGATGAACGATTTATGCAGTCTTTGAAACCAAAAATTAATTTAAAGAGGGAAATATTTAAAGAGAAAAATAATTATATTTTTTAATGTCATGGAATTTACCGTTAGCTTTTTGCGTTTATAAAAATTTGAAAAACTTGCCGTTTCAGAAATATAAGGCGTCCAAAATTCAAATTTTACAAATTTCGAGTGGCAAAAACTTGAGAGGGGGTGGAGACGGAAAATAATTTTCTTCTAACGAAATAAACTATTTATTAAGTGTGTAAAAGCTGTTAAAATTTCAGATTCCCACAATGTACGGTGTGGAAGAAAAGTGGTATCAAAAATTTGGAAAAAACGAACTTTAGATAACGGTAAATTTTGGTGGCCATTATGTTTTTTTTTAAGTTTAAATATAGTACGCCGTGGTAGAAGAAGACAGCCATTATATTTCTGAGTTTGCAAAATTTAAAAAATGCTTATAGTTTCACTGCAGTCAATAATTAAAAATATGGAATTTTTACTGTTTCAGGGGGGTATAACTTTGAAAGGGTGGGAGATAGGAAAAAATTTTTTTCCACGGAAATAAGTTTCTAGTAAAGATCTATGTACGTATTTCTTTTAGCTTTCTTTCTTCAAGGGTGTACAAATTTTGTAAACGGACACACGGACAGACGGACGGACGGACAGAGTTATGTATGTTTCTACACAGCAGAAAACTCTTTCAAGTGATCACGAACTTCGCACCGAATTATTGGTCTAGTAAAAACCATTGTTCAAATTCTTTCGATCTAATTAGTTTAAATATTCATATTTTACATATGTTTTAAATTTAAACTTCTTATTTTCGCGATATAATCATTTTTTTAATAGAAGTATATGAAAAATAATGGGACATAGAGTACAAATTTTTTTTGTTTAAGTTTGTGCTATTTTGATCCATATCCATGAATTTTTGATCCACGTTATACAAAGCGAATATTTTTGATCGAAAAAGTGGATATGGATCAAAATCGCACTGGACCTTCCTAATTAATCTGCTAAAACTCTCGATCACTTGGGGATTAAATATTCGTTTGCATCCAGCCATTTCATGGCAACGATATTTTTCATAAAATTATCCCACCTTCCTGCCCCTGAGAAACTAAATCGCGTTACAGGTTCACCCTGTATATACATACTTATGTAGGTACATACATACATTTTACATGTGAAAACACCAAATTTTGGATGTCAAATTTTCGATGGGAACGCACTTTTCCATAGTAGGGAAGCGTGCACGTGCTTATCCCAAGTTCGCCTTAACCGATTTTGACGAAATTTTATATTTAAGTTTATTTTAGCTATGGGCCGGATAGATCAACTTTTGGGAGAATAATCAAGCTATTTAATTGAAATTTTTAATATTTAAATTCGGGGTGTTAAAACAAATAATCTATAAATTTTTTGGAAAGATCAAGTCTCGGAAACCAGGCTGGTGGCCGATTTTACTTTTTTTTACCATATCTACCCAACGAATTGATGGAATTTCTTGAAATTCGGTATTTGAGTATGGATGTTACCAAAACTAACTCGCGAACTTTTAAGGAAATTCAGGAGGCTTAAAGCGGAATTTTACTAAGAGCCAAATTTCCTTTTTTCTAGGTATGTTAGCTAAAAGATTCCTAACTTCCTTAAAATTAAAGGGAAGTATTCAAAACTCATTTTCATAATCTTTTGTAACAGTTTCACTAAACAAGGTAATATACATTGTGGTGGGTTATGTGCGGAGCACTTCAGATTTTTCAAAGATGCATAAATGACACAATTATAGCTGGAATTTTGAAGTATTTGAAATTTTTAAAAGGGTTGCCAATATCAATTACAGAATTAAAATTATAGCGTTTGTCTAACTTGCAGGATAGAGTTTTTAAAACTATGACAGATATTACACGTTCATCATGTGATATTTTAAACAAGGCCAGACTTTAGTGTTTCGAGTTGATTATTAGAAATAAATCGACTTCAAACTATATAAACATTTAAAATTTTCTGCAAATTCTTGTAAATTACTACGGGGCGTCATATGTAAATAAATTGGGTTATTTATTTTATTCTATTTTAAATATTTGTTTAAATATTTAGCTTATTCTATACTGAAAATAATTTATTATGTTTTTATAATTTTTATAGGACCGGTAAGATTTTTACATACATGTATATAAAAATTTGTTTATTTTTATTTGTAAAAAATCATTCAATTGCAGTTATAGCAAATATCTGATTTAATTATCTTTTTCCTTGCAGGTGACATTAAATATTAGCATTTGAAGTGAGAATTCTACTTGCAAATAAAATTTTTGTTCACTTTATGATGGAAAAACCTAACGTTTTAAATAAGAATGAAATACAACGAAATTTTTATAACAATTTTTTATTATATAACGAAGGTTTTCATTTAGAGGACACATTCAGTAATTCCACCAGAGAAAGACAAAACAGAAAAAAAATATCTGCGGATATATTCCCCATTGAGTATTTGACACACTTAACAAACAATACAAATTCAACTAATTTAGACATTGAATCACTTCAATCCAACAATAAATATCGTGAGCGATCTATAAACGAATGGATTAACGATATTGAAGATGAAATAAACAATAACTCAGTTGAAAATACTGCAACACCATCACCGACATTTTTTAATAATTCATCTACCAAACAAACTGAACTTATTGAGAATGCTTTTAAAAATGTTAACGATAGTATTAAAAACACAGATATAAAACAAAATGTGAAGGAGACTTTAAAATCGACCTTAAGTTATGGTTATACGACAATTTTAAATTTTTTAAATAGCTTAGAAACGGCAACATCATACCCTACATCAAATATTACAAATAATTTTATTCAGAGTCTTCATAATAGTAGTTCGAACGTTACAATAACTTCATTTAATGAATTTATGAATTTGAATCGTAGTTATTATCGTCATTTGCCCCCATCCTTATTAAGCGGTCATGAATTTTTAGTAGGAATCGATTCCTATGGCAGTCAATTAAATAATATTAATTCAATTAATAACGAAAATGATGTTTCAATTATGAGTAAGAATAATAATGATTTTGGTGTTGTTGTAGGTAGTTATATAAATTCAACAATTGTGAATAATTTAAATGATTTTTTATTAAATAATTCAACTGATGAACAATATATTATTAAGCTACATGAAACGAATAATGAATTGGATGAAAATGATGAATTATTTGCCCCAGGTGCCAAACGAGATTTTGTTTTTGATAGAACTGATGTAAAAATTATTTTTATAACTTTATATTCTTTGGTGTTTTGCTGTTGTTTTTTTGGTAAGTAGTATTATTACATACATATGTATATAAATAAATATTATATTTTAAATTTGTTAAGTTTATATTAAATTTTGCTGCTTTCTGGATAGCCTTAAATTATGGTATCACAGACAAAATATAGTACCGATATGTAAACTTATATCTATTGAAAGAATGAGTCAAATATTTTCAGTATTTTTCTACATCATATCGGAAATGGGTCAAAATTTTGTGTTTAGAAATAAATGTTTAAGCCCAACATAAAATATTTTAAAAATTTTAAACGAGAGCTTAAATCAATGCATAAAAAATAAAGTTGCGTCAAACCAATAGTTTGTAATGTAGCACTTTTCTTTCCAATACGTGAAAATACTGCTTTTAAAACAATCTAGCTATGTACTAAATAACATTATATATTAAAATTACTTTCATTCATATACGAATATATTTCAAAGGTTGCTTCAGGATGTGCAATGTGTGCAATCTTTGAAATAAAACGAAAAAACTTGAAAAATGAGTTAACATAATGCTAAAATTTTAGGGTTAATTGTATGAGTCAAGAAAAACAATTATATATTTTAATGACATTGTATTTTTCAAAATTTTGAAAAGCTTACAGTTTCGGAAATATAATGTGACAAAAACTCGAATTTTACACATTTCAAGAGGCTATAACTTGAGAGGGGGTGGGAGTGGACAAAAACTCTCTCAACAAAATGAACTATTTATAAGTGTCTAAAAGTTGTTAAAACTTCAGACTTCTACAACCTGAGGTCTAAAAGAAAAACGATATCAAAAATTTTAAAAAGGGTAAATTTTAAAGGCCATTTTGTTTTTCATTAAATTTCAAATATGGTACGCCGCAGTAAAAGAAGCCAGAAACTATTTTTCTGCGTTTGCAATATTTGAAAAATTTTTATGGTTTCGCTGTAATAAATAATTGAAAAATGACGTTTTTAGGTGTTGGGTATAATTTTTAGAGGGGGGAGATACGAATTTAAAATAGATAGGAAGATAGAATTTTCTTCTACAGAAATAAGTTTCTGCTAAAGATCTATATACGTGTAAAATATTAGCTTTGTATCTTCAACGGTGTATAAATTTTGCTAACAAGGATAGAGTGAAACAAATAAACATTTTTTCAAAAATTTTTCGAAAAGTGCCAAAAAGAACTCGATTTAAAACTATTTTAGAGTTTTGGTTTTTTTTATTGGATATTCAAGACAACAGACTTCTATAATTAGATCTAGGTTTTTTTTTTACTAAATGATAGGATAAAATAGGAAACGTTAAGAGTCATAGCATTTAAAAAAATCTACGTGGCTTCAATCGGAAATTAGAAGGAAACAATATTAACAAGGTTAAACAGTAGAAAGACTTCGTACAATCTTTGAACCCAGGGACTGTACTGAAATCTATATATGCTACACTCTACAGTCATCGATACAACAACTATCAATATCATGTTTGTTGTAGTGTTATTTGTTTATTTCTTTTGAGAAAAAATTTCTTTTGAGTGAAAAATTTCTTTTGAGAAAAAATAAATCAATAGTTAAAAATTTTTAAGCTTAATACAATAATATGCTATGGTTAAAATTCTCATGGTGCAAGAATCTGAAAAATTGTGAAGAAAGTTCTTACACAAAAATAAATTTTCCATTAATTTTTTACTCATTTTCCTGAAAAAAATGAAGTTAATTTTGTTTTTCAAAACGTACTTTTTTAAACAAAACTTCAATAATTTATGTTCTGATAAATTATAATCCTCCCAATGATGTATTTAAATATACATAAAAACATCGTACCCATGTACATATATAAGAATAATTCAATGACAAAATTAAAAATTAATTCAATGCAGATATTGTTCAACACTATATGACCCTATTCACAAACGTATTAATAATTGTTGTTTATAAAATGTATGTACATATGTAAATAGCATAATTATTTTTAAATACATATAATACACATATAGGAAATCGACAAATTGTTCATTGAATTAAAATTTGAGGTATTGTTTGTATACCTGTACTAAATTTTCGTTTACCTAATCTCTCTAAAACATGATAAATTTCTCAAAAGCGTCAAGCTCAAAATTAAGATTGCTGAATCATCATATTTTTCTTTTATGTAGATCGATATTCATCGTAATTTTTTTTTATTTTATGAAAATTTGTTTCTATTGAAGTAGCTTGCTATTAAATAATATTTAAAGTATATTGTCTTATAAGTACAATACTTCACAAACGACTTTCTTCATTTTAGCATTTTTGCAAAAAAATTTAAAAAAAGTGTTGATTCTGTCTGGCCCGTGGAAACAGTTTTTAAATTCTGTAAACAAAAAAGCTAGCTTTTTGCCATTAATATTTACAGTTAAATAAAATCCGTTTTTTTTCCAAACTTTGGATATCGTTTTTCTTCTTGAGCCCAGGTTGTACGAGTTTGAAATTAGTTTATCTTAGACATTCACAAATATTTCAAATCGTTAAAAGATACTTTTTCTCCACCTCCATCCCTTCTCTACTATTTATTGGTATCTAAAAGCTGCTAAAATTTGAGACTCCATTTGAATTGAGATCTAAAAAATTACATTTTTAGGGTTTTGTATAGCTTTTAGACGAGGGAGATAGGTAAAATTTTTCTCTTACGAAATTCTAGCAAAGATTTATGCACATATAAAATTTCAGCTTTCTCTTTTCAAGGGTATATAAGTTGTGTAAACATGTTCACGGACAGACGGATGGAGGATAAATATAGTGAAACTAATAAGCACTTTTTAAAAAAAATTTTTCGAAAAGTGCTTAAAAAAATGCAATGAATAAATATTATAAATTATCTAACAATTTTCATATATTTGAGCAACAAATCATTGTTTTTTAAAATTTTACATTTTTTAGATTAAAATAAATTTAACTGCTCATCCATTACAATTTGCATATAGAATATATAAGCGACTTTTATTTACGTAAAGCTCTCTCACGAGGTTGAAAGATAGAAATTAGGCTTTTGTACTTAGAAATATGAAAATTTGGTTCTTAGTAAAGGTTCATTTTCCGAGATCCGATATTTCTGCAAAGTCCCATTTAATTTCGTTAACAACCAGGACTCATATAATAAATTTCACGAAATTCCGTCCTGAATTATGATCGAATTTATAAATACATGTATAGCAGAGGTATTAGTGAAAGTTCTGTTTCAGAGGCCTGCCATTCTTGAAAAATTGATCAAACTATACTCGAAGTAAAATCAGATATAAATTTTCGTAAAAATCGGTGACATATTTCTGCTAAAAACTCGGCATATGAAATACAGCGCTTTCATTTAACCTTCCTTATCTTAAATATTTTTAATTTCCCAAATCAATATATGTACAAAAATTTTAACTAAAAATATTTTAAGGATCCTAAAATACTTGAAAAGGTGCAAAAAAAGCTTTCATTTTGTACAGTATTCAATTTCGAATGTTTCTTTTTATAATTTACTTTTCTTTGTTTTTGCTTTTTATTCGAGGCTCTTTCTCAAGAATCTTAATTTTACGTTGGGAATACACCCATCTCAGACCAGACGCAAAATCAAGGGTTTGCTGACAGATGTTCCTTTTTTTGTTTTTCTTTTTTTTTATGATATTGTTTCTCTTATTTTTCGGAGTGAGCCAAACAATGAATTAAAAAAGAAGTAACATGAAAATGTGTGTATATAAGTGAAATAAAATATGTGTCTCTAAAAGATAGACAACTTAAAATCGATTGCTTTTTTTTAATATTTTTTATTTTATTATTGTCTGTGCAAGTTTGTGTTAATATATGTATGTTAGAAGTAAGTATATAGGTATATAATATGGTATTAAATACTAAAAAGCAAGAAATTATATGACATATAGAAGGCAGAGTTAGTTATGTTATGCCTATTTTGTTTACATTAATTTAAAATACACTCACTTATTCACACGTATATAAATACATACTTATACGTATATACTCGTAACATTTAATATAAACCGTTTTTATACCAATATCGTTTTTTTTTTGAATTTTTGGTTAACTTTTGAGTAAAAAAACACTGAACCACGAAATCCCTCTTGGAATAGATTTAAAGATTATTTAATAAAATATTCTTCATCAATCAATGAATGATTTTTTTATGTGTGTATATTTGTAAAAGCAATTTTGAGTATATTATATACATATGTACATACTGAGGGTTACCAAAATTCATGATATATTGATAGATATGTCTGCAATACTATACTTTTGTATACTATTGCAGTTTATTTTGTAAATCAACCAGTCTACAAAAAAAAACAAGAATGAAAACGTGTTCTGTTTACGTTTGTTTTCATGCCCTTAATAGCAATGGGTTAAATATTCACTTATGATTTTTTATGTAGCCTATAGGTAAAAAAAGGTTAACTTTACCCTATACCACGTTTATTATTTAATCAATTGAGTGAAAATTTACATTAATCATTTTGTTTGCACAGTAGTTCAAACAATTTAGAAAAAAGCAAATTTACATTGGTTTAATACTATAGAATGGTTGCCTGGGTGCAGACAGCAACACAAAGCAAAATGAAATATATGGAATGACTTTTTAACTTTTTTTGTTACATACCTATTTTGTGTTTTTCGCTATTTATTAATTTGTTTATAAATTGCTCCAAAGTTATAATTTTTAATTTTTCGCTGAGGAATCTTTAATCAATTAAAGTCATAAGTTTTAATAATTTTTTAACTGTTTTTTCGATTTCGAATCAATCTCAGAACAAAATCCTATCAAAAGCAACATAAAAGCGCTAAATAATTTAATACAAGGAAAAACACTTTATGAAATGTGCGAGAAAAATAAATCCTAGCTAAGCCAAAATCCATAGAAGACCAAAAATAGCCAATATTTTTCTAGCAATGTGAATATATTTTCACTAAATAAATTTATTTTAAAAATTGTCACAAAATAAACTTATGATAAAAGTTATTTAACTTTAAAAGAACTTATTTGATAGACTTTAAACTAAGACC